ATAAGCGAAGTAACAGCCAATGGAAAGTGGACTCTAAGTGAATATGACGCTTTGCATGGATCCGCCCTGATCCGATTCCATCGGAACCTGAATGTGAAGCATGGATCCGTCATGATCCGATTCCATCGGATTCTGAATTCTGATCCGATCCTGAATAATGAAACATGGATCCGTCATGATCCGATTTCATCCGATCCTGAGTATGAAGCTTTTCAGTGGGTCCATTCGTGCAATGGAGAAATTCCTCCGATATGCTGTTAATTATGTCGAGCAACTTTCGTTATTTTTCATGTGATTCAGGGCAAGCGACATGGCATTTTCTTCGCGCATCGAAACAGCGGGAACCACCAGTTTCATTAGATACGATATGAATCCTACTTACATGGAGCGGTGCTACAAATTTCTTATGGGGGGACTTAGCACGGAATGACTTTTAAGAGCAGGGCATTGCAAATATCGAGTGATACTTAAAAGGTGGATCTGGAATTGTACCACGGAGGTTAGTCTTTGATGCTGTGAAAATATTACGCAACCGTGAAGTCCCACACTCCGTGAAGACTATGCATGGGTGGAGTGCATTGAATGAATTATCAAGTTCGAATATAAAGTCGCACGCACTGTTGCGCCTAGGCGACCTCAAGCATCCTCGATGGGCTGACGTTTCGTCACCCTTCATAATGACCATGCCTTGACAACACGCCCGACATAGCAACGTTTCATTCCGATGCATAGCATGTCAGCAGCAATTTCGTATCGTCAATGAGCGTCTGCTATACTCAATCACCAAATCAGTCGCCGGTCGAGCCTCGGTAGCCAAGAAGGGTGATGACCGTCGGTGTCCGACGCGGCCTCCGCGCCGGCCAAGGCACGGCCTTGCTTACCTGGGGCTGGCGGCGAGCTGGCGCGGCACGAGCGGCACTCGACGCGGTCCCGGACGAGCACGCTCCCGAGACTGGCCGCCGGCCGGCCGCTGGCGGCGGCGTCGCTCGTGTAAACAGAGAGGCCGCAGACGCCCAATTGCCGCCGGCCACCGGTACCCGCGAAACGGACACCCCCCGGCTGGGGGCCCGCTGGGCGCAAACGGCACGACCGACAATGGTACCCCCGCGGTAACGGACGGCCTGGCTGAGGCCCCGCTGGGTGCAGACGGCACGACCGACAATGGTACCCGCGAAAACGGACACCCGCCGACTGGGGGGCCCCGCTGGGCGCAGACGGCACGACCGACA